CTGCTGCTGAAACTGACCAGCAGCGGCTGAATCAGGGACGCCTGGGGCAGAGCCGGACTATCAGAAGGGGGGGCTATGAGGGGTCTGGGGTGACATCCCCCCCACCCCACCCCAGACCCCTCATAGCCCCTCCTTCCGATAGTCCGGCATATCTGATAATCTGGCACCCCTTGGGTCCTAAAGGTGCCGGATTATTGGAAGTTTACTGTACATACATTTAACACTATGTAGCACAGGTGTTCCAAACCCATAGGAAGGGGCAGCATGTAAAAAACTTGGCTAACAAATGGAAATGGACAACCCCTCGCCGGTCACACAGTCTCACTCCTCTAGCCAAGGCAGGACCAGTCCCCTTGTAGTACGGCTCCCATTGTGGTTTTCACACATAAGCAAGAATGTTACATTTCTTTGGTTCTAGATGCAATTAAGAATGACCATCTGGTTAAGGGCTGCAGACTAGACATCTCTACTGCCTTGTGGAGTCCTTCATCCCCGCGTGAAGCGGGCACAGTGAAAGCTAGAAACAGAGACCCCCACTTCTATCCAGGTAGCCTTTCAGGCCTGCTTTGGACAGGCGCAGTGCAGTAGGTGCAACAAACTCAACCCTAGCAGCTCCTGCCTGTTTGCTAACTCAAGTGGGTATTACGCAGAGAAGGCAAAACCAAGAACTGCTGGCCAGTTTGTGCTCTGTTTGTGCTGGGTTTTCACGCCCACGGGAGGGCTCTAAGGGTACGCTTACACCGCAAAGAACAGCCAGCCGTGAGTTGTTCTTTGCTGTACAGATGTACCCTAAGAACTCCTCTGTGCCAACAGGAGACAGAAATGGAACTTACTTCCAGGGCACCTCCCTGCACCTTCTTTATTCCAATCATTTTGAGCTGCAACAGCTCATCAAGCATCATGACGGCATCTACCACCATGCGGGAGAAGAAATCCTTCTGCTGGGAGATCAGCTTTGAGTTGAGGGCTGTGGAAGCACATTTCTCCAGCAGTCGTCTTAGCTCGCTGCAAGAGAGAAGTCACACCTTAAATTAATGGAGATTGCCTATCTCCTAGAACTGGAAGGGACCATCGAGTCTAGTATCCTGCCCTTGCAGTGGGACCAAATACCATCTCTGACAAATTTTTGCACCAAATCCTTAAATGGCCTCCAAGAGGATTGAACTCACAACCCTCAGTTTAGCAGGCCAATGCTCAAACCACTGAGCTATCCCTCCCCCTATATCTTGTGCATGTAGTAGCGCCCTTTGCCAAATGGCAAAGCATTTTAGATGCATTTCTTAAGCCTGGCTCTCCCCCATCAAGCCCAAATGAGAACGTATTAGCCCCCTTTTCCAGAGAGGGAAACGGCGGCATGCTGCATTTCAGACCCACATTTTCAGAAAAGTGATAGAAATGTAGCTGTGTTAGTCTGGTGTAGCTGAAACAAAATGCAGGACTATGTAGCACTTAAAAGACTAACAAGATGGTTTATTAGATGATGAGCTTTTGTAATACGACTTAATTACCTGCATCCTGCTTCAAAGCCTTTTAAATCTGCACTTGAAAGGGAATCCTCTCAACTGTCATTCATGCTAAAATTCGACACTCTACGCGTCTGTCTCAACAAAGACAGTAACTGTCTTACCCATTACAAAGATAGCTTCCCCAATTATCACCTCTAATATCATAAGCTCACAGACATTTACCTCCCCCAGCCGCATCCCCCTCCTGTTCTGCAATGTGATTTGTCCTTTTCATATGTGTTCATTTTTTTAAATTGTATCCTTTGGTATATATGGTTGTGACTATTTTCTTCCACTATTTGATCTGAGGAAGTGGGTCTGGCCCACAAAAGCTCATCATCTAATAAACCATCTTGTTAGTCTTTAAAGTGCTACATAGTCCTGTATTTTATTTTCAGAAAAGGCATCTCTAATTTATAGAGCTCAGCTTCAAACACCAGGGGTCCATAGGTCAGAGGTACTCAGTGCCCACAACTCCAACCAATATCCCTGAAAGCCATAAGCATTCAGCCATTCTGAAACGCAGGCCCCCAGGATCTCAAATGGGGCACCCACTCAAAGGAGAGGCCACTTGGAAACCTTCAGGTTATACTGCTTGTTAGATGCTGAGAGAAGGCAGGAACCAGAATGACTGTATTTTGCATCCACTGATGGCTGTCAGAGCAGCTCAGTTTGTTAGGATCAACAGCTGCTCACTGGGTACATAAAGCCAAGCACCTAATAAGCAGCCTGATTTAACATGCTGAGCATTTAAGGCACTTGCCAATTTCAGTGGGAGCTGCAGGTGGTTCAGCACCAGTATGAAAACTCAGGCCATTTACTTAGATGTCTGCAATTATGCACCCACACTGGCAAACAACAGCCTAGATACTTTGCGGGAACAGCAGCCTGGAAAATACAGTACAGTCCCATCTTAGTCAGAACCTAGATTCCATATCGGGTTCAGGTGAAGGAGTTTGGAGCGCAGGTGGTATTCTCTTCGATCCTTCCTGTCAAAGGTAGGGGCCCGGGCAGACAGAGGTGCATCCTGGAGGTGAATGCCTGGCTGCGAGGATGGTGTCGCCAGGAGGGCTTCGGCTTCCTTGACCACGGGGTGCTCTTCCAGGAAGGACTGCTTGGCGGAGATGGGAGTTCACCTTTCCAGGAGCGGGAAGGCCTTGTTTGGACACAGACTGGCTAACCTTGTGAGGAGGGCTTTAAACTAGGTTCGACGGGGGCAGGTGAGCAAAGCCCACAGGTAAGTGCTGCATGTGCGGGACTGGGAGATGGGTTGGAAATGGGGGGGGGACTACGGCCTATAAGCAAGGAGAAAGGAGGGTCAGGGCACAACAGGGAGGCAAGATCAAATCAGTATCTTAGATGCCTATATACAAATGCGAGAAGTATGGGTAATAAGCAGGAAGAACTGGAATTGCTAACCAATAAATACAACTATGATATCATTGGTATTACAGAAACCTGGTGGGATGGGACACATGATTGGAATGTTGGTATGGAAGGGTACGGCTTGCTCAGGAAGGACAGACAGGGAAAAAAGGGAGGAGGGGTTGCCTTGTATATTAAAAATGTACACACTTGGACTGAAGAGGAGATGAACGTAGGAGATAGCTGTGTAGAGAGTCTCTGGGTTAAGCTAAAAGGGGTAAAAAACGAGGGTGATATCATGCTAGGAGTCTACTACAGGCCACCTAGCCAGGTGGAAGAGGTGGATGAGGCCTTTTTTAAACAATTAACAAAACTATCCAAAGCCCAAGATTTGGTGGTGATGGGGGACTTCAACTATCCAGACATATGTTGGGAAACTAACACAGCGAGGGGCTGAGTTTGGAAGCAGAGAGAGCAGGGGACACTGCCCCCCTAGTCTTTTAAAAGAAGAATGAACAGTTCTTCCCTGTTCATGTTTTTGTTTCTTCAACAGGGAAGAGTGGGCAGGTCTAAGACAAACATGCTGAGCACATTCTGTCAGGAAGGACAGACAGGGAAAAAAGGGAGGAGGGGTTGCCTTGTATATTAAAAATGTACACACTTGGACTGAAGTGGAGATGAACGTAGGAGATAGCTGTGTAGAGAGTCTCTGGGTTAAGCTAAAAGGGGTAAAAAACGAGGGTGATATCATGCTAGGAGTCTACTACAGGCCACCTAGCCAGGTGGAAGAGGTGGATGAGGCCTTTTTTAAACAATTAACAAAACTATCCAAAGCCCAAGATTTGGTGGTGATGGGGGACTTCAACTATCCAGACATATGTTGGGAAACTAACACAGCGAGGCACAGGCTATCCAATAAGTTTCTGGACTGCATTGGAGACAACTTTCTGTTTCAGAAGGTTGAAAAAGCTACCAGAGGAGAAGCTGTTCTGGATTTGGTTTTAACAAATAGGGAGGAACTAGTTGAGAACTTGAAAGTGGAAGACAGTATAGGGGACAGTGATCATGAAATAATAGAGTTCATGATCTTAAGGAAAGGTAGAAGGGAGACCAGCACAATTGAGGTTATGGATTTCAGGAAGGCAGATTTTGATAAGCTCAGAGAACTTGTAGGTAAGGTCCCATGGGAAGCAAGACTGAAGGGAAAAACAACTGAGGAGAGTTGGAAGTATTTCAAAGGGACGTTGTTAAGGGCCCAAAAGCAAACAATTCCGCTGTGTAGGAAAGATAGAAAATATGGCAAAAGACCAGCTTGGCTTAACAAGGAGATCTTGCATGATCTCAAAATAAAAAAGGAGTCATATAAAAAATGGAAACTAGGACAACTAACAAAGGATGAATATAGGCAAGCAACACGGGAATGCAGGGGCAAGATTAGAAAGGCAAAGGCACAAAATGAGATCAAACTAGCTACAGGCATAAAGGGAAACAAGAAGACCTTTTATAAATACATTAAAAGCAAGAGGAAGACCAAGGACAGGGTAGGCCCACTGCTTAGTGAGGAGGGAGAAGCAGTAACAGGGAACTTGGAAATGGCGGAGATGCTCAATGACTTCTTTGTTTCGGTCTTCACCGAGAAGTCTGGAGGTGTGCCTAACGTAGTGAATACAAGCAGAGAGAGGGTAAGTTTAGAAGATAGGATACACAAAGAACAAGTTAAAAATCACTTAGGAAAGTTAGATGTCAGCAAGTCACCAGGTCCTGATGAAATGCATCCCAGGATACTCAAGGAGCTGATAGAGGAGGTATCTGAGCCTTTAGCTATGATCTTTGAAAAATCATGGCAGACAGGGGAGATTCCAGAAGACTGGAAAAGGGCAAATATTGTGCCCATCTATAAAAAGGGGAATAAGAACAACCCAGGAAATTATAGACCGGTCAGTTTAACGTCTGTCCCAGGGAAGATAATGGAGCAGGTAATTAAGGAAATCATATGCAAACACTTGGAAGGTAATAAAGTGATAGGGAATAGCCAGCATGGGTTTGTGAAGAACAAGTCATGCCAAACTAATCTGATAGCTTTCTTTGATAGGATAACGAGCCTTGTGGATAAGGGAGAAGCGGTGGATGTCATATACCTAGACTTTAGTAAGGCATTTGATACGGTCTCGCATGATATTCTTATTGATAAACTAGGCAAATATAACTTAGATAGGGCCACGATAAGGTGGGTGCATAATTGGCTGGATAACCGTAGTCAGAGAGTTGTTGTTAACGGTTCTAAATCCTGCTGGAAAGGGATAACAAGTGGAGTTCCTCAAGGGTCTGTTTTGGGACCCGTACTGTTCAATATCTTCATCAATGATGTAGATATTGGGATAGAGAGTACTCTTATTAAGTTTGCAGATGATACCAAACTGGGTGGGGTTGCAACTTCTTTGGAGGATAGGGACATAATTCAAAATGACCTTAGCAAGTTAGAGAAATGGTCAGAGGTAAACAGGATGAGGTTTAATAAGGAGAAATGCAGAGTGCTCCACTTAGGAAGGAACAATCAGTTCCATACATACAAGATGGGAAGCGACTGTCTAGGAAGGAGCATGGCGGAAAGGGATCTAGGGGTCATAGTGGACCACAAGTTGAATATGAGTCAACAGTGTGATGCTGTTGCCAAAAAAGCAAATATGATTCTAGGTTGTATTAACAGGTGTGTTGTAAGCAAAACTCGTGAAGTCATTCTGCCGCTCTACTCTGCACTAGTTAGGCCTCAGCTGGAGTACTGTGTCCAGTTCTGGGCGCCACATTTCAAGAAAGATGTGGAGAAATTGGAAAGGGTACAGAGAAGAGTGACAAGAATGATTAAAGGTTTAGAGAACATGACCTATGAAGCCAGGCTTCGTGAACTGGGCTTGTTTAGTTTGGAAAAACGAAGATTAAGGGGGGACATGATAGTGGTTTTCAAATATCTAAAAGGGTGTCACAAGGAGGAAGGAGAAAATTTGTTTCTCTTGGTTTCTGAGGACAGGACAAGGAGTAATGGGCTTAAAGTGCAGCAGGGGAGGTTTAGATTGGACATTAGGAAAAAATTCCTAACTGTCAGGGTGGTCAAATATTGGAATAAATTGCCAAGGGAGGTGGTGGAATCTCCCTCTCTGGAGATATTTAAGAACAGGTTGGATAGACATCTGTCAGGGATGGTGTAGACGGAGCTTGGTCCTGCCTTGAGGGCGGGGGGCTGGACTCGATGACCTCTCGAGGTCCCTTCCAGTCCTATGATTCTATGATATTCAGAGGAAAATTCAGCATTGGCTGCACAGGTTGATCCCAGATCTGAATTTGGCCTGGAACCTTCAAACCAAGACCGCATACAGTGCGGCAGAAAATAACTTTAAAATGCCTCTGACCCAACAAGGTGACACTTCTAGGCACAATTCCGGTATCCCTAACTCAACTGGGAACTTACTTTTTATCTTCCTTCTTCACTGTCACCGCAATCTCTTTGATCTTATTTACAGCCTGACAAAACAAGAGCCAGTAGCTGAAATTAGTAACTCACATTTAAACAGCTAATCAACCCTCCAGCATATTCTTATATTTGTAGGTCAATCTTCATTGCTATTTCTGATGCGGTTGAAATTGTAAGCACATAAGAAGGGTCACAGTGGGACAGATCAACGGTCCATCTAGACCAGTGGTCCCCAGTGCGGTGCCCGTGGGCGCCATTGCGCCTGCCTAGTGACCAGGGCCAACCCGAGCCATTCTTGCGCCCCAGGCACACAGCGCACGCGCGGCTTCCACCCCGGGCACACGGCGCACGCGTGGCCCCGCCCCCGGACACCCAGCAGCCCCAAACTGATCTAGACCCACAGCCTGTCCCTGGCAGAGGCCAGTAACAGAGGCGTCAGAGGAAAGAACCAGACCAGGGCAATTCTGAGAGACCCATTCTGTCATTCAATCCCAGCTTGTGGCTGTTGGGAGATTTAGAGACACCAAGAGCATGAGGTTGCAGCCCTGGCCAGCTTGGCTAACAGCCACTGATGGACCTGTCCTCCAAGTATTTCAGCTCTTCTACGGCTTCTAGACTAGCAATCAAGGACCAGTTCCTTAAACATCACTGCTGGGCCAAAAAGCCAGGTATCTAATCTCACTGGAACGACTCCGCTGTTATCAATGCAAGCAGTGCTACAAAACTTGATCTAGAAGTAGGTGAAATACGCTAAAACAGTGTGTGTGTGACTCAAGCACACTAAAAGGGCAAGTGTAGTTCCCATTGCACAAGCAACACTTCTGTGGACACAAAAGATGGGGTAGTAAGAAAGGATGTTAAAGACTAGTCGACTATCCGATAAGCAAATGCTTACACATAGTTTTTTGACTAGTCAAGAGGCACGTCCACATTCCTCCTTTGAAATGTACAAGAGCCCCAGTATGGGCTCTTGTACATTTCAAAGGAGGAATGCAGAACTCCATGTACAGCCTGGGGCTAGCAGGAAGTCCCACTGACACCGGGCTGCATGCGGGTGCCTTCTTTGAAATACACAAGAGTCCCCAACGGGGGCTCTTGTGCATTTCAAAGACATGGAGCCCGGGATCAGCGAGGGACTCTCCAGCTGATCCCAGGCTCCCCGTGGTATTTCCCAGGGTCCCTGGGCTCTCTGCAGCTGCTCCTTTGAATCAGCTGTTTGGCGGCTGTCCCTTTAAACCACGCATCCATGTGATTCAAAGGAGCAGCTGCAGAGAGCCCAGGGTCCAGAAAATGCCGTGGGAAGCCCAGTATCAGCTGGGGAGTCCCCCACTGATCCCAGGCCCCATGGCTTTGAAGTATACAAGAGCCCCTGCTGGGGACTCTTCTGCATTTCAAAGAAGGCACTGGCATGCGACCCGGAATCAGCGGGACTTCCCGCAGGCCCGGGGCTGTTCCCAGAGTTTTGCATTCCTCCAGCGGGGGCTCTTGTACATTTCAAAGGAGGAATGCAGAAGTGCCTATCGATTAGTCGATGGAAATTCCATCAACTAGTCAATTAACCGCATTTTAATATCCTTAGTAGTAAGCTATTTTCACTTTCTTTTCATAATGACTATATCCTGTGATGGATCCTCCAAAAACTTTGTTCTGAAAACACTGGATAGGATCCTCATGAGAGTCTTTGGGCATTTAAACTCAGATCTCCGACGTTTTGCCAGGCTAAGAAAGGAGATGAGATCTAGTATCAAAAGGTTTACAGGCTGCTATTGTTTTAAAGAAGCCATCTGATATTTTGCAGCAGGGTGGAAGAGACTGTAACTGCTCCGGCTGCTCATCCCGACCCCGATCCATTTCAGAGATGGTTTTGACCCTCTTCTGGTACAGAACCACCATCCAAGATGTTCTAAACAACTATGCAATGCTGTGCTAATGAACAGACTCCCCACTCGCCTACACATTTCCTTACCAGCTGAGTTGCAGTGCGGAAGGCTCGGATGATGATCTGGGGATGCAGACCTTCCTCCACATAGGGCTTCACTTGTTTTAGGAACTCTGCAGCCAGCATAGTCACAGAAGTTGTGCCATCGCCAACCTGCAACACCACAAGGCAGTTGTTTGTATCACTGGCACATTCTGAAGGTTCTTCCCTAGCACAAGATCATCAAACCCCAAAAAATGCAGCTGTTTCAGAAAGACATCTCACCCTCAAGCATGAGGTGTGCATACTTGGAATGCAAACATGGGAATAATGTGACTTAGACACTGATACTGTCAATGCCTTCCAGAGCTGAGCAACACACAAGGCACCACTTGGTATCAGGGATGTGAAAGTGTAACAATGTACACAATTAACACTCAGCCCACCCCACCGCCTCTGATACAAATACAGCAGCACCGAGAGGCAGGCAGGAACTAACTCTCACTCACTCTCACTCTCCCCCCCTACCCCCCCCAGCTCCTGCATGTAATCATGCAAATGCTCAGCGGTTACATGATGATATAATTAAACACATTTTAACATCCCTACTTGGTATCCCAGCATTTCATAGTATGCACCCTCTGTTCTGAGCTGTGCTTCTGAAGCATAAACACATGCTCACATTCATACCTCTGCATCCTGAGATTTGGCAATGTCCACTAATGTCTTAGCAGCAGGGTGGACAACATCAAGAAGTTTCAGGATTGTGGCACCGTCGTTTGAGATAGTTGCTTTACCTAAGGTTTTAAAAACAGAGTCACGCCCAAAGATCCTGACTGAAGACACCTGCTTCCCACTCCAAAGGCAGCTGTCAACTCCAACGTCTGAGGAAGTTATTTGAATTTAGCCTAAGATAGCTTTGTTAGATTAGTCATACAAAACCTGGCTTAGTGACTATAAATACTGGAATAGCCACCAGCTTTGGGGGCTGGCCGTCCATTTTTCTTGCAGTGCACTGTATTTGAGGGACCTCAGCTGGCTCTCGTGGAACCTTGTATCCCACACCTATACTATGCATTATGCAGGGAGGTTGATAGTCAGCCAAAAGCCACTGCCTTGTGCTTGGTAACACTGAAGCGCTAATAGGCAGCTCTGGGAAGTCATGTTATCTTATACTTACCTCTGTCATCAACAATAAGTTTGTCCATGCCCCGAGGGCCCAGGGTGGTGCGAACAGCTTCTGCGATAATCTGGCAGGCATTGATGTTACTTACAAGCTGAGGGATCCCTTGGGAGGAATCCGTGCCTTCCTTCAACAAGATAACTGGTGTGGGCTGAAAAGACAAGAGATGCTAGCTAATGCTTCCCTCAGACTTTAATAAGCCAAATAGTCACCTTAAAAATAACTGTGTACCAATATTTTAACCTCCTTAGCTCAGCTTATTAGTATTATTCAATGTCATTTTTCCTGAGGGGAACAATGAAGGAAATCAGTTCACCTTATTAGAGTGTCACTGTTTGCTATTCCATATCTGAGGCTGAAGCCAAAGTCTATTAAAGCCTAATGACTTACAAAAAACTTCAACCCAGAAGATCTTACGCTGCAGGGGCCGGAGCCTACAAACTTTATTCTCACAACTAGACTTTGTGAAATAAGGTCTTAGGCATCAAAAGATCCAGCTCTTTGAAGATTTTCTTTTCATTTTAATCTTCACCTTGAGTATCTTGAGTTTCTAACGCTCGCAGTTATACACTCAAAAAACTGTGTTTGTTTTCATTATTTTAACTTTTACATTACTGAGCTGAGCCTTAATTGGGGGCAGCCCGCAGCAGCGCTGGGAAGAGGCCAGCCTGGTAGCCCGCTGCAGCCCAGGATAGCGCCAGGCTGGGATTCCTTGGTAGCCTGAGGCAATGCAAGGCCAAAGCCCCTGGCAGTGCAGGGCAGCATAGTAGCAGATGGGAGGGCTGGAGGCAGGGAGCCTGGTAGCAGAACTAGGAACACTGAGGAGCAGCGGCCTGGGGAGCCAGTGGTAGGGGACCTCCCCTGGTCTGGCAAATTAGGGTGCCGGACAAGGGAAGTCCAACCTCTACCTTCCAGCTTCCACACTGGACTGTCTCTGTACTAGATATATAGTATCCATACTACTCCAACAGCTATTAAAAATGCTGCTGCCAAATGCTAAGTTGACAGAGTGGACAGATCAAAAGCATTTCTACCACTGTGTCATGAAAAATCTCTTAACAGCTTTACATGACACTACAGTATGAACAACCAAGACCTGTCTACCCTTACAATGCTGCTGCCAGCAGCACAGCTGTACCCACTGAGGGTGGTACCCAAAATGCAGATAACAAGGTCTGTGGTAAACATGAAAATTAGGAAATAACAAAAACGCACAGGGGTGCATTAATATCCCTACCCCAAGAATACGCGTACTCCTAGTTGAGAGCCGCTGCTCGAGGTGTCCCCAAGCCTCCAACCCACCAGAAAACTTGGAATGGACATGGGTTGGGATTACTCAAAATTGCCCTGTTTCATTCATTCTCCCTGAGGCATCTGCACTGGACACTGCCAGGGAAAAGATACTGGACTAGATGGACCACTGGTGTGATCCTGCATGGCCATTCTTATGCTTGTAAGAGAATGACTTAGGGATTCTAAAAGGCCATGGTAACAGCCAGCCAATGCCTCCTCACAATGTTCTAGGATGATCCCATGCCAGTGAACCTTTATTTGTGCAGCAACCCGTTTTCACCTCTCACTACCTTTGAAAAATCAGAGCAAGATGGCATTGCTTGAAGGGGAAGCTAGTCCAACACTTAGCACTTAACCGAATGCAAGCATGACCTTTACACTGACAGTGAAGCGGGAGGTTGACCCACTGGCAATAAACAGTTTTACGGCAAGATCGCTAGGATTCAAACAATTCCGACATCGCCTTTGGAGACTCATTGGGCAAGAGGGCCAAGGGTGGGGCATGAAAGTTAAATACAGGCCCTCAGCCAACACTTAGCACTTCACCGAATGCAAGCATGATCTTTTTACACTGACAGTGAAGTGGGAGGTTGACCCACTGGCAATAAACAGTTTTACGGCAAGATCGCTAGGATTCAAACAATTCCGACATTGCCTTTGGAGACTCATTGGGCAAGAGGGCCAAGGGTGGGGCATGAAAGTTAAATACAGGCCCTCAGACTTCAAGGACATGTTGTGAAACAGAAACAAGGCTCTTTTACCTCTGTCAGAACAAGCCTAAATGGAAGTTTATATAGAAAATCCAAATTATCCTGCCTTTGAAGAAAACCACGTTCTCTGCAACATAAGCATCCTTTTGTAAGCATCCCTGCACATTCTGAGGCCTGCCTTTAGCTTAGCCCGGGGACGTGCCCACCACCGAGAGGACAGGTCTGGCAACACTGCATCAGGCAACGCTGCCCCTTTCATCTGAACAACTTGGGGACAGCAGGTGCCAGAATCAAAACGAGCCATTAGCATCACCCAAACAGAACCGTGGAGACCACAGGGACGGTGGCCCCCAACATGCAATGCTACGTCCTGACCACAGCAGCCTCCGTGGGCAATGCTGGGCCCCTGCGGCTGTTTCGGGGAGAGGCAGGGCGACCGATCCCAGCACGCAATGGTTTGGGGAGCCCTAAGGGCAGGTTAACGGTTACTATAGTCAGCAGAAGAGGCTTCCTTCACTCCCCCCGCTGCTCTGTCCTACAGGGACTACAACCCCCAGCATGCAATGCGCCACCTGGAACCCCAACTCGGGGGCAAGTTTTCGCGCGTTACTTGATGGGGCTGGTAGTCCCTGCGAGGCCACTGATGTCCCACCGCTAGCCAGGCCGGCCCGAGCTCCCCAGGCCTCCCACCCCGCTCAATGGGCTGCCCTC